CCCTTCAGCTCTCTGAATGCCCCACAGGTCCAAACCATCCTCAGTCAGAGTACCAGTCTGAAGGAAACATAGACAGGTCACAATGTGCTTTAACATACCAACCCAGGCTTTGTAAATGATATGACAAGTTCTAGACATAGACGCAAATAACCCTATTTTTTAATCTATTAAATAATTTAATAAAGTTACTGAAACTCTTTTAAAACCAAGTTTCAGCTTGTTAGTGCAACAACATGCACACATCTTTAATGTTTAGAAAAGTTGCTAAGAATGTATAAAGACAGTCTTAAAAGATAGTGGATGAATGTTTTCATCCACAAGAATCCACGGTCTTATATTCATTGATGATAAAAGATTTTTTAGGAGGAAACTAACAACATCTTTAAGTGACTTTAACCATCTCTACAATCACAAACAAGCCTCGAATTTCATGCTGAGAGTTATTATTAGCTTCTCAGTATATCTTTGGTTAAGTAAAAAAAGACAGAAAAAGGAAAATATCTAAGGAACATTTTAACTCATTGATAATTCATGAAAGTCGTACAAAGCTCTGGTTAGGATGTTTTTTTCCTATTAATAAATCCATTAATGATTTGTATTTTTTCAAGCAGCTTGATGTTTTGTTTTTTTTTTAAAGATTTATTTTGGCTTTTTGTGCCTTTTTTTTAATACAGAGAGAGGACAGTGAATAGAGTTGGAAACCAGGGAGAGAGAGCGGGGAATGACATGTGGAAAGGGCCACGGCCTACCGCTTGAGATGAGAGTCTCAATACATGGGACGTGCGCCGTAACCATTGCGCCACCAGCGCGCCCCAGCTTGATATTTTACCAACGTCATCAATGTCCAAAAACAGTACCACATCAGAACATCATCAGTCATTTGTGGTTTTCATGGTCATAAAATCATGAACTTCATTCCTCAAATTAAAAACCACTCCGAGTGGAATAAGAGGGATTTGATGCATCAAAAAACACATTTTTGTGCTTTCTGAGTGAGAACTTTGGAGTCTGATTCTAATTTATGTAATGTTCCTGGGAATAAGGACTTCCAAGAATATATTCTGATGAAACACGATCAGAAAGAAAACAAAATGTGATTTCAGAAAGAAAATCAAAGCTGGGGATCCGAGTACCTTGTCGAAACAAACCAGGTTGAGTTGACCGCATATGTTGATCCTCTGAGGACTGATGCAAAAGATGCCGACGTGCTTCAGACGCCGCTGAGCATACACGATACCAGCTGTCATGGCTGCTGGTAAGGCGGGGGGCACGGTGATGGTGATGATGTCCAGAGATTCAATGATGATGGTTTTAGCTGGAACCTGGACCATCAACAAGTGACATCAGTGAGTTGTCATTGTGATTGAGAGACAGTTTCCAATAGAATGACAGAACCAATGCATCCTCATTATGAACAACTATTTCCAACAAAGTACTTTAAAGGTCACATATTGTGCAGAATACACTTCACAATGTTTTTCTCACACTAACATGTGTCTCTAGTCTGGCTTCAAACCCCCCAATTATGAGAAAAATGTCCATCCTCTCCGTCTTTTGCCTGCTCCACTTTTCAGAAAAAGTGTGCTCAATCAGGCCATTTGTAGATTTTGGGCAGTAACCCCTCCCCCAGATGGGTGACACTCCCAAGGGTGTTTGTTGTTGCCTTCTGAGTCTTCCTTTGAAGTTTGGCATGGTGCAAGAAAGCCCAAGCCACCCAAGCCCTTACAGAGGGGCGTGGTCAGACACAGCTCATTTACATTTAAAGGTACAGACACAGAAACAGCCTGTTCTGAGCAGGGCTGAAATAGAGGGGTTTATAGACATGATCAAATACAGGATCAGAGTGGATTTTTGGCAAGAAACTTCACAGACATATTCTGGGGAGGTCTGAAACATATTTAAACTTTTGGAAAAGGAATATAATATGTGACCTTTAATTTACCTGAGTGTGGATATACAGAACAACAGCACAGAGACTTTTAACTGCATGTATCACTCCGCCTCAGGTGATCTGAACACCATGTAATAATGACAATTCAAATTGCACACAACATTCATTAACATGATATAATCAGAATTTGTACTTTAAATGGATTATTTGACTTTGATTAAACTATTCATTTAATTTAAATTTAAGTTAAAGATGTCCTCGGTAATGTAGATTAATTGCTTAGCCAAAGTCCAGTTCAAGTCCAATTTAGAAAATGATTGTGTTGCCGAGTCAAATGAATCATTTAATAACAAGAAATAATGTACTTTTATACCGCCAACTTGAAATTTGGCGAATTGTTGTATAAAAGCAATATCACACTCATGGTCATGTGTTTGAACCGAATATCAGCACAGAAGAGATTATCTTCCTATAATCGAATCACAGCCGTGCTGATATTCTGAACGACAGCATGATCCTTCCTGAGTCATATCGTTCAATCAAACGTACAAATGTGAGAAAACGTTTATATTCCCTCTAGACCAGCAGTGATACCTTGTGCATGATACTGAGTACGATGGTGTAGATGAAGCCGATCCCCGCCACTCCCACCAGACACAGCAGGAACAGGTATGCATCGCGGTAGAGTTTGAAGTCTGGGAAGAGGATGGAGCGCACCAGCTGACCTTTCTCTGTGCTGAAGCCTGTAAAAACATTGAAGTCTTTTCATTTTCCTTTACTCATTTGGATTATTATGTTTGTGAGTGTGTACAACTCTCAGAATGATTAGCCTGTAGAACTAAATGATCTTAGCTGTGTTGTTCTCACTCGGTCTCAGTCTCACCTGTTCTCACCACCACAGCCTTCACAAGTTCACCTGCGTAGAAGCGGGTCTGGATAACTCGGGTACCACAGAACAGGGTATGTCTCTTGTGCTCCTCTATATTGTAGCTATCAGATGCGTCCTCGCCTACACTGGGCAGACTGGTCTTAGTAACCGGCACACTCTCTCCTATACAAAGTTATGAAAAGTAGAAAAATGTCAGAGTTATTCAAAAATACAGCTTCACATTTCTCTGAAATTCAGTTAACTACTTATCTTGTGTGTTTATCTTAAATGTAGACCAATACACAGCATTAGAAACAGTTTGTTCTTTGTCTTTTTTGTTCACTTTTGAACTGTCATAGTTTCAGTTTAATTCAGTGTGTAAATCCTGTGGCTGTATTCAAGTCACTTTAATTATGATTGACTTATATGTCGAAAAAGATGAGGACAGGTTAGTTCTTGGATTTTGTTCATATTTGAATTCTAAAAGCTCTGGCAAAACATTTTAAAGACTTTAAATTTGCCTCAACTAGCAAATACCTAGGACTTGAAAAGAATAAAAATGACACTGAAAGCACAAACGATTTCACACAAATTGAACCAGACATTAAACAACCTAATTAAATGTTTTGGATTAAAGCTTGTGAAACTAATAATGAGCAAAAGTTAAAATTACCATTAGAACTACAAATTCCATCCATCCTCTCCATTGTAAGGATTCATCACTTTTGTGTTGTTGATCTTTGTGTGTCAGGAATAAAAAAAAAAATCTGCTAATCATGAAAATATGAACTGGGAAAGGAATCTGAACTCAAGGTCAATGAACTTTGTTTTCCCAGATTGTTCAACCCAAAAACTCTCAGCTGAAGAAAACATTGAGATGCAGTCAAACGCATCAGTAAAAACAAGCTAGTCAGTAAACGATGCAATAGTATTATTTATCTTTATGTGTGTAAAAGATACCAAAGAAGTGTGTGAGTGGGATTTTTTGGCACAGCTTCACCAACTACCAGATGTCAGAAAATCTCCAGGAACACTTGTAGTATGAAGATCAACTTTATTAGCTAATGAGCCCGACGCGTTTCGTCTTGTGACTCGGTCTAATTTGTTGATCTTCATACTACAAGTGTTGCTGGAGGAAAAGAAACAAAACATTTACATTCAAGAAGAACAGCAGTATTTAATTTATTGTATCCTGACTATGTTTCAGTAAGAAAACTGTGATGTCCTAGTCCTCATTTCTGAAATGTTAATAGAAAACAAAATAAATATATAAAGTATAAAAGACAGGAGTATGTGATTTTATACCTGTCAGCATGCTCTCGTTTACAATGCAGGTTCCATGGATGAGCACAGCATCGCAGGGCATGATCATCCCATTGGCTGGAATGATGATGACATCACCTGGCACAAGCTCTGTTGACAAGGCCTGTTCAATATCTACGTGAGGGACAACATGAACGAGGAGAACAGGGAGAATGATATAAACACACTCTGCAGGAAGTATAGAGAATACTATTAGAGATTTCTAATGTTAATCATCCATTACAGAATACTCCAAAAGATAAGATGAAGGTTGAACATGCCTTGATCTCCTCTGCACACAGACACACGGACCACACTGTGTGCTGCCACCATGTCACGCAGCATCACATATTGCTGAAATAAAGAGACACTGTGTCAAAGAGGGAGGAAATACTAGAGTGAAACACACACTCATGAACTCAGAGAGGAAGCAATTAACATGGTTACTGCAACATGAAACTTCCAGATTTTTAAGCTGTAAGAACTCTCATTGCTTTGAAGAGATGTTTTTAAACCCAGACTCTCTGAAGATGAACACTTACTGTAACCCCCTAAAAATAAAACATCTTTTAAGATTTATTCTCCCAGTTCTGCAATAATTTCAATGACTAGTGTGGGCTTGTTTTGTGCAACAGACCTTCTGAAGTCTGGGGTACATCTGATAGACTGACACTCTAAGTTCATTTTCAATGATTTGATCGATATTCTATGTTGATTGAGGTAACGGCAGAAGAAAAGAGTGTGGCTCATTATTACCCACTGTTGTTCAGATGAGGTCGAGGGCAAGATGACTCATCTACCCAACCCCCTTCAAAAGGGATCATTTGACCAGTGAATGGACTTGCTTTATTGCTGAAAGTTACTAATTAATTGTTGACATTGCCTGCTTGTCTGTTGTTTGCTCTTCATGTGAAACTTTTATTGCTGCTATCTTAGCCGGGACTTCCTTGTAAAAAGAGATTTAGTATCTAAATGAGAAAACTATGAGTAAATGAAAGGTCTATCTCTGGCTCTATCTTCAAAAAGTATTTCATCACATGTCGTATTTCTCGGAGGATCTGATGACTCACCTTTTTAATGGTATACAGTGAGGTAGCTATTGAGATGGAAGACATAAAAACTATGGCGGTAGCATAATAGTAGTAGTCCTCAAAACTCCACAGAATGACACTGAAGAGCTGGAAGATGTAGAAAGGATTCAAGACCTGATGAAGGGGAGGAAGAACGGTTAATTATCGGTACGTTAAACACAAAATGTCTGACATGCAGTCATGACAAGAACTCTAAAGTCACCTCTTTTATGAGCAGCTTAAACACAGAGGGCACTCTCACAGCAATCTCATTCTCGCCGAAAAACAACATCCTGATGGAAATAATTTTAAGTTATGTGACGCAAAACTTTCTCCACACTTAGCACTTAGGCAGAGTAATTAGAGTGTGTGTGTGTGTGTGTGTGTGTGTGTGTGTGTGTGTGTGTGTGTGTGTGTGTGTGTGTCTACCTGTACTCCTGCAGTGTTTTAGAGAGTCCAGAGCTGTGGTCAGAGTGGATGTGCGCACAGCTCACCTTCAAATCCTCCAAGCCTCTAGAAAAGTCACACTACTTCAATTTCTACTGTCGCCGTGCAGAGCGCCATGTATGACTCATTCTTTAATAAATGAAGTTCAGAGTAAAACATGAAGAAAAGAAGGGTTGGATTATAACGGGACTCTTACTGAAACACTTCGAAGTTCTGCATCACATCGTTCCAGTAGTATTTAGTGCTGTGGTGGGTGAAGTAGTGGGTCTAAGAAAAAGGGAGAGGCAGACAGGGCCAGATTTTAGATTTTACAAACATACATCAAAACAAGGGAATTCTTCATATTCACACGGTTGCCATATTCAAATCACACTCTGGGTGTCATGTCATTAATGTTGCACGGCTGTGTTCCAGGTTGCAAATCTTAAAACAAACAGAGAACATGAAAAACCGTCCTTTTGTCTGTTCATCAGCAGCTTATATCAAATAGTGAAAATCTGGGACAGCAGGCCATTTTATAGAGTTGTAAACCTAAAGTTAGAGCTAATGCTAGGAAGCGGCTGAGTGAAAGGATGATTATTTGCCAGATTTCGCACATTTAAATGAAAACATGAAACCTGCAGTATGACCTTATCTCTTGTAAATGGACGTCATGTGAACATAGAGAATCACTGATCCAGAATCTAAACTTAATTTCATGTCAATAAACGATTACAAACATTTTTCAACTGAGTTACCTGAGCAGTCTGTGTCTGAGAACATTTCCCATGATGCTCCTCGTGCACAGAATTGATGCTGTTGTCTCCATTTGGTAGCAGAGATGTGGACAGCAGATCCAGGCTGTCGAAGGGTTTCCTCCCGGGGGCCACCATCACGTGAACGCTGACCCTAAACCACTGTTTGAACTCATCCTAGAGGAACAACATAAAGAATGATATTTTTCCTGAATTGTATCATTTGAAGATCAACACGGTACATTTACAAAAGAAGGTAACACTTGTACGGATGAGTCACAAACGGCAACAACAATAAAGGGAATTCAAAATAATGAGAAAGAAGAAACAGATTTACATCAAGTAAGATACCATGATCTGATGTGTTCCCCTGATTGTCCCCTCCTCTTTAGCATGACCGCACACACTCATTTCCTACTACAAATAAAATAATAACAATGATAATATAAAGTGACAAAGGAAGAGGTTTGTTGTTTTCATACCGTGGTCCTGAGCAGCAGCGTTCGTGCGTCCCTCAGCGACGTGTATGTGCACGTTCCCTTGACGCCCCACTCAGGCAGCCAGTAGAGCAGCAGCAGCAGGAGACCCCCCGAGCACACGGCGCCCATGCCCACAAGGACCATCTTCCAGAGACAGGGCTGGTACCCCCACACCTCCTGCAAGGGGGACACACTCAGGTTAACACACAATGCTCAGAAGTGAAGCATGATTAAATAACAGACATGTTGTGTCTGTTTGTCCCCAAATTAGCCTTTTTTTTTTAAAAACACATATTTTGACGAGGCATTGAGAAAAGCACAGATGTTTCCGTACACATAGACATGCTTCAGTTCTGTTAAAACTTATAGGAAGCCATTGCTAAGCCCTGCACGAGAAGTTCTCTCTGTGGATTTTCTTATTTTGAACAGCAGACTGTATAAAACGACTTACTGCTCCGCAAAACTGAAGCAAAACATTTCCGATTCTAAAATCCAGACACAACATCCTCCTTTAGGATTCAAATTCTCAACCCATGGAGCTTTATTCAATTGAGCAGACAGATACAGAAGTAATGCAGATAGGAGGTCATATTTACCATCTCATCCTCAAGGCCCTGGTTTATAATCTTCGGCTCTCTCGTCTTCATTCTGTCAGGGGTGCAACAACTACAAAGACAAACACATTGTTAATTTATCTACTTAAGTAAATGAATAAAATATCAATCTATTAACTAATATTTTCCAACTGCTCGTCTACTCTACTTTCTCAACAGCTTTTCTAAAAGTCCTCGACACTTGTTGGTCAGCAAAGATGTTACAACTTTCATCGGTCAAGGGCATAAAGAGAATCATTTTAATGACGCTTGAGGCAAAAACAAGTCTGAGGTGGAGTGGAGGTCAGTTAGTTCACATTTCTCATTGGAGCTGAATGGGAGACGTGGAATGTGTTTATTCAGTGTTAATCATAGAAACAAGGAAAATCCTTCCTCACACTTAATGTCTCAAGGAGAGAAAGATCTCTAGTGCAAGTAACAACCTGCCTAACAACAAAACTAACCTGCCTCATGGCAGCCACATTAGAAGGCATTGCGTTTAAAGCCTCTGGTGACATCCAGAAGAAAACTGCTCCATGAGAATCTCCCTCATCAGTCTGGATATTTGAGTTTTCCTGGAACATTCGCTGAGATTGATATTTTGTCCTGATTGCAGATGGTTTCCTTTTTTATTATCATTCTTTTAATAAAAAGGTATTTTCATATATCTATATTTCTTTTCAAATATGACTTTACTGAAGGTGTTTAAAGATCCTGAACAAATCAGATCTTTGCAACAAACTAACAAGCTGACAACTCTATTAACACTCTGATGGACATTAGGAAGTGATGTGCTTGAACTAATGTGGAGTGGAGTGCAATATAGTGCTGTTATGAAAGCAACGATAAGATGGGGGCTTCAAAATGAAGCGTTTAAAAACTGATACAAAACCAAAGCTTTAGAGATGTGGAGATAGAAAGACAGTATTAACAATTACAATCACGTTTCATTCGTTTTTTAATGTTACTGCACATTTTCTATCACTTCAACCACAGAAAAGTGGAAAAAAAAAAAATTGTAGCTGTTAACAGAAAAACAGATTAGAAATACATTTCAGACAAACAATTCAAGGCATCATTATGACTAATCTAAGCGAGTAATAATAATAATAATAATAACTTTATATATATAGCACCTTTTAAAAACACAGGTTTACAAAGTGCTTTGACAAACAGCAAGAACAAAGCAAACTAAACACAGAAGAACATTAACAACAGTAAGAATATAACAGATGCAAAATACCAAAAATAATTAAAAACAATTCAACAGAAAAGAACCCAAAGTGCACGATACACAACCAGACATATATAACCCAACCATCATAAGAACCATCATAAGAACCCAGGAACACAAGAACCCAACAACATGAGCTGAGACCAAGAGGACCAAAGATTTAAAAAGATGTAAGAAACTAAGAGATAAAAGCAAATAAAAAGCAATGAGAAGGTAAGCGCAGTAAAATAAATAAAAACAAGTGGTTAAAGGATCAAAAAACCCAAAACTATAATATTAATAAAAATAAAAATTAACTATAAATACGAAACATAAATAGACAAAGTAAGTAAGATAAGAAATTACCAAGTTAAAACACAAGAGGAGATTAAGATATGAGCATAAATACGAGATAAGACCATAAATAAAAGACAGTAAGAAGTAGAAGAAGATAAAAATAGTAAAACCAGTAAGAGAAGACATTAAGAAGACGACATCACATAAAAGCAAGTCTGTAAAAGTATGTTTTAAGAAGGGATTTAAAAGAATTGAGGGAGTCTGCGAGTCTTATCTCCTCAGGGAGGTCGTTCCAAAGTCGAGGGGCCCTGACTGAAAAGGCCCGGTCACCTTTAGTTTTAAGTCTCGACTTTGGAACGACCAGGAGGCTCCCACCCGAGGATCTAAGACTGCGGGCTGGCTCATATGGTGTCAGTAACTCTGTTATATAGCTTGGAGCCAGCCCCGTCCGTGCTTTAAAAGTAATGAGTAAAATCTTAAAATCGATTCTAGAACGTACAGGAAGCCAGTGTAATGAAGCTAAAATTGGAGTATGTGATGTCGTCTGTTACAACCAGTAAGAAGCCTAGCTGCTGCATTTTGGACCAGCTGGAGGCGAGACAGTGACTTATTTGTGATTCCGGAAAAGAGGGAGTTACAGTAGTCAAGTCGGGAGAAGATGAGGGCGTGGATGATCTTTTCAAGGTCTCGTTGGTTAGGATTGTTTTAATTTTGGAGATGGTGCGTAGATGGAAGAAGCTTGATCGGACAACTGTTTTGATATGGGATTCAAAGGTGAGATTGCAGTCGAATGTTACTCCTAGATTTCTGGCGGTGGGTTGGACATTGGTGAATAAGGGACCGAGGCTGCTCTTTGAGATATGAGTGGTGTTTGGCGGGTTGAATACTATGATTTCAGATTTAGAATTGTTCAGTTGGAGAAAGTTTTGCGCCATCCAGCAGTTGATATCGCTTAGGCAGTTTCTGACAGCAGCTAGGCTCCTAGGGTCCTCAGGTCTCAAAGGAAGGTATATCTGTGTGTCGTCTGCGTAGCAGTGAAAGGAGACATTGTGGCGTTCAATTATTTGGCCAAGAGGCAGCATATAAATGGAGAATAAAATGGGACCTAAAACCGAACCTTGCGGTACACCACAGGTAATGTTAGAGGTAGAGGAGGAGTAGTTACCGATGGTGACCGCGAAGGTTCTTTCTAAAAGATAAGAGTAAAACCAGCTAAGTGTAGTATCCTTTAAACCAACCCAATGTCTGAGACGATCAGTTAAAATTGTGTGATCAACAGTATCAAAAGCTGCGCTAAGATCTAAAAGAATTAAAATTGTGCCCTCCCCTCTGTCTGCTGCTAAAAGAAGGTCATTGGTTACCTTGAGGAGGGCAGTCTCTGTGCTGTGACAAGCTCTAAAACCGGATTGGAATTTCTCAAAGAGGTTATTTTCAGTCAGAGTAAGGGGTTTCTATCACCTAAGAAGACAAAAGCGTAACCCTTTATTCACATATTGTGTATATGCTGCTGAGCACACACTTAACACTTCCAGTCACCCCTGCATGAGTCTTTGCCCCAGTTCGACCACCGCCACTGCATGAAGGAGCACCATGGTGGCAGCATCACTTGTTGGGATGCTTCACTGCTCATAATTGGGGCAAACATAAAAAGAAACCTTTTTTGTTCTCTGGGACTTGAAAATTACAAAGACCCCCCAAACATCAAAACAGAGCTAAACAAAGCTGATCTCCACACATTTCTGTTTAAGTCCTGGAGCAGCCAATAAAAGTCCAGCTCTCAGCCCAATCCTAAATGTATCTGTGGCAAGATTTTCAAACTCTCTGTTCAAACAGGGTCACCACTGCAACTTGACAAAAGTTTTTTTTGCATAGATTAAGCGTGGGTGAAACTTCAGATTCCAGATGTGCAAACAAATCCACATGTACGGAACTCACAGCTGTAAGGATGCAGAGGGAGCTTTATTTAAGGAGGCATCGAAAGTTAGGGATTAGTCTACTTCAAAGTCTCTTCAAAGTTGGAATAGTATCTATGAGAATAGTGAGTGCAAACATCTGCTGACTCAAAACAATTGAAAGCTGTAAAACAATAAAACAAAGTCCAAGAAGTCGCATAGCTCGTATAGACTTTGGACATCCTGCTCTTGTTATAAAGGGTGTTGTTGAGTTGTTTTTACAACATACTTAAAGTGAGACATGTTTTTATCCGAAAGAGAAACATGCACTTACAAACCTTCAACATCGGAGCTTACTGAACCAAATATTATCCATTAACATCATCCAGAGCGACAAGATGATGATCATCTCCTCAAAAGTTTCTCAAGCTGCTGCTGAGCTTTAACGAAGCGTAAACACAGCCGTGCAAACTCTAAAGTCCTGCGTAGTAACGTCTTACCGATGCGTCTTCTCTTCCACCTCAAATCATCCCACGTCGCATACTGAGAAACCGTCGTGCATTCAAACTTTGCTCAGCCGTGCAGCGGTGTGACACATGTGCGCCTTAACAACAGAGATCCACGCTGCGCCGCCGATGGACCGTCCCAAACCGGTCCATTCAGAAGGAAGTGGGGGAAAACAGGATGTGAGGTCATTAAAGGACACACTTTGAGCTTAAAGTTGTAAAAAGTCGAGAGAACTGCAGCGACGTGGTGCGTAAAGCGATCAACCTGCAGCCACAGAGACGACGCTCAAGATTTAAAAAAAACAAAACAAAAAAAAGCTGCAGCGCAGAAAAAGGAGAGAGATTTTATAGAGCAGCGGCAAACTGGTTTCAGACTGTGGCCGGTTTAGCAGTGACACTGGTGTTATTTCAGGTCAGTGACAGAAGAAGTAAACTGTGGTTTGGCTGCGATTGCTGCAGGTCCTGGGGTAACCTTTTGGGTTTGAATGCAGATGTTGTAGTTGGGGGGGGGGAGCAAAAAAGACAGCAGGTTTAGTTTTCAAATAATTTTATCGTTATACAATAGAAATATAACACTTTGATTATACATCAACATGTCACATAATGAGCATAAAATGTAAAACAAGTCAGGGTTATTCTTCTATAAGAACAGAAAGGTTCAGAGTTAAAATTATAACAGCTAAAATGATAAAGTGTCACATGTCCTAAAAGGACTAATAACAGCGTAGAAGTCGTTGTACAGTCTGCATATTTCAAACACATGAGAAGGAAAGTCAAACTTCATTCATTTTTTATTTTTTTTTAACTGCATACTTCGACATGCGAGGTCCTGGTCCTTTACCTGAAAGAAAAAGCATCATTATTACTTTGAATCAATTATGTCCACCCAAATCTGCTCAAAAACAAACGTGTAGTGTAGATTAAGAGCGTTCACTATTCAACTCAACAACATTAGTTCATTTTGATCCATCTTTTGTGTGCAGTCATCGTGCAACCGGCTCTCACATCTATGCACATGAACTTATAGAGTTGTCTGTCAACTAATGGAAACTAAAAACATCTGGCGGAGAGAAATCAACATCAGCATTCACTTTAAACTCAACTTGAATCATCTCTGTTGTTGCTCTTTAGCTGCTATTAAACTCTTTGTTAGCTTGTTTGCTAACTTTGTGACCTAGTTGGTTCTTGGCAGGCGTGAAGATGAGTCAGCAGGTTTCGCTTCAAAAACAGCTGTCTGCTGTGATTGAACACAAATTTAAGATAAAAGTGAAGTTTGAAAGAAAAAACTAAATGAGCTGAAAGATGCTAAAAAGCTTTTTATAAATGAGAACAGCAAGTTACTGTAACTATTCTGTGTTCATCATTGGCAAAACCCTTTCAAAATAAAAGTTTTTTTTTAATCATTGCTAAGTAATAAACAGTGATACGTGCAGCTTTAAAAATACCCTAAACCTAGGATCTCTTTGTGAGACTCGTGAAGTAGCAACTTTAATGACACTTTGATGAAGCAGTTAAACTTCAATGTTACCTCCTCTGGCCTTCCCTCCTCTGGCCTTCCCTCCTCTGGCAGCCTCCCGGCCTGCAGGCTGTGCCCCAGCACGCCCCCCTGACAGGCCTTGTTTGTCGCCTTTTTCACTCTTAGGTCTGGCATAAGCCAGAGTCACTTGGCTGCCGTCTATCTCACAGTCCTCCATGGCCTCTTTGACAGCTTTGGAGTTTTCTTCACTCTCAAAGTCTACAAAACCAAACCTGAGAAAAAGGAATGAAAAAAGTTTAGTCTACAGAAGATTTTTGCTAATAACACTTAAAGGCAGAGTCAGTAACTGTAAGAAAAAACAAAAAATAAATGAAGCCGAATACAAAGGTAATGCCGCTCAATCATCACTCATTGGCCTCCATACATGTGTGGTGGTGACTGTGTCTGCAGAGAGCCTGCCAGGAGTTTGATGTTTTGGTTGAATATTGTGGATGCCGACATATCATCAAATTAAAGAACATATAATCACAGTGAGGCTAAACTCCAAGAGGACAAGGCTGGCTTGTTCCAAAACGACGGCTTTCACACACAGATGCTTGATGTTCTGCTCTCTGTTGGACAGGCAGGTGCTAAACACCAGCAGTTAGCTTTTTGCCAGCTTGCAAAATTTTCGACCTTTCCGTGACAACACATGGTAGCTTGCAGTGTAGTTACACGCTAACCCTGCAGTAGGTGAGCGCTTGTGGTGGCGATTAGCCCAGGAGGAGAAGGACGCCAAATGTGAATGTTGAGTTTACAAGCTGCAACCAACATTTCTACTGACTCTACCTTTAACCTTTTTTAGTGAATTATGAAATGAGTGTGTACGCTGCAAACCTTTTTGAAACTCCTGTCTCTTTGTCTAAAATGACTCGTGCACTGAGAGCGCCATCAAAAGCACTTTTTAGAGTCTCTGCAGTCGTCTTTTCAGCCAGGCCGCTCACCATCAGTGTTTTTGATTGAACTTTAAAAAGGAAAAAAAAACACTTTAGTTTTTACGGTGTTCATAATGCATCATGACACAAACTGAAATTGATGTATTACGATCAAACTGTGTTTTTCAGATTTGATGAGACTGGTAGATGAATAGAAGTATGGTGCAAACAATCCAACAAACCTTTCCCCCTCGCTGGCCTCTCAGAGAATTGCACTTTGATCGGCATTTTGCTGATCTCAATGTTCTTGGATGACTGCAAAGCTTTTTCAGCGTCCTCCACAGTCGCAAACTCAACAAACGCAAATCTGCAAAGAATTACAGATCTTTGTTGAGAATGTTGAATGTTTTATTGTGAAAGAGTAGGACAGTTTACTAATACTCACCCTTTTGGTTTGCCTTTGCTCTGAGGTATGCTTATATTAAGAGCCTTCTGGAAGACTTTCTTGAGTTGCTTCTCTTTCACTTTGAAAGACAGACCACTCACAAACAGATTGTTGTTTGGAAGGACTGCAGCTGTGAGGCACAAGAAAACTTTATTTATCCAAAGTTGAAATGTAACCTACTGACATTCAGATTTAAAACACTAATATATATCTACAGTATCATGTCAACTATAAACAGTTCATATCTAAATGCCTGGTATTTACCTTTACTGTTGTTGTCATTTTCTTTTGTGACTTTAGGACCATTTGTTGTTCCTACAGAGTCGACGATCAGAATCCGACCTTGGATCTGAGCAACTTTTTTTTTCTGCCGAACTTTCTCGGCAATGGCTTTACTTTCAAACTCGACAAAGGCAATACTGCCGGGGGGGAAAAAAAACAAGAAAAGTGATGCAGCTGTTTTCAAAAACGTCCAATAAATGCATAGTTTTATTTTGAAATAAATATCAACAATGCACTTACAAACTGTATACATGTTTTGCACATCTGCCACAGTCGTAAACATAGTGTGAAAGTGAATGCAGGTGTTCAAAGCCCTCACCCTGTAGTTGGGCCTTCTGCTCCTTCAGGAAACCGGACTGTGACGGCCTTGCCAAAGATTTTTAAGATGTCTTCTTTTGTTGCGCTATATGGGATGTTCTTCAGAAACAGACATTTGGCATCTCTGGCTGCTATAAACGGGATATTCCACGAGTCAGAAAATCAGTAAATATATCTTTAAAATCTGCTCAGACTTTGTAATGTTTTACATTCAACTGTCATCACATCATAAACACATAATTACACCGTTTAAAAGGAAACCTAAACTTGTAAAGTGAACACACTGAAACTATTTTAAATAAAAAAGTTAAATGTTTACAGAACTTAAATTCATGTGTAGCTAAACGTACCTTTTTGGTCCTCGACTGGAACTTTGCTTTTCACCTTGTTCTCACTTTTGACTTTTGCTTTGGCGATCTTCATCGGCTTGCCGAGCATCATTTGTGAGTTTAACGTCAAGGCTTTGGTCAAATCCATCTGTGAGGCCAGATCTACATGTGCGTGTTTTCTGCAACAGCAAAGCATCATCACCTTTGAGTTCACTCACGATCTTATTCATGAGCAGCATTCACTCTGAGCAGGGGAGTCAGTCGATGTAGAATCTTCACACTAAAAATGTTCAAAGTTGAAACACTGTACTCACCTGGAGCGGTCTAGTTTGATGTCTTGAACCAGGAGACTTTGTGCCATGAAGTGATTTGCTAATGCATCTTTGATTTCCTCGAATGTTTTAGAGTTGTTCAGGTTGCGACATAAAGAGAAAAACCTACAGAAACAAAAAGGCAGACACATGTGTAAAGATGTTTCCCTTACCGACAGGAAAGAAAACATGCCGCAGTGTGTCTTATTCTGAGTTCTTACCATCATTCATAAGCTTAGTTTTCTTTGACGGTGAAGTCTCGGTAGAGTCTATCTTCCGTTTCCCTTTCACAGAAACAGACAAAACAAACATTAGTGAAGTGGTACAACATCATCAGTTTTGACACTATCACAGAATACTTTGAGCCCCACGTGCAGGAACTCTTTCTCACCTGATAGATAGATAGATAGATAGATAGATAGATAGATAGATAGATAGATAGATAGATAGATACTTTATTGATCCTGAGGGAGATTCAATGCATCCAGTAGCAGGTTACAAAGACGTACATGACATGAAACATTTGTTACAAATTAAACCGCAAAACCGACGCCCCCCTCCCATACATATATATTAACCCGAAAAAAAGATTTAAAGAATACCCCGAGATGAAAACAAACTTAAACTGTGCAATTAAAAATAGATTTATACAAGAAATGTACAGAACCCGTGCAGGGATAAAAATATATGTGCAGTTTAAAAGAGAACCTTTAAACAGATGAGTCAGAGTCATAGTTGAGTCAGATATCATTGGGGTTAAGATTGCTGTGAAACACGAGTAAGTATGAGCTGGACAGTGAAATGTGTAAGACGGTCGCTTTATCATCACCCTCAGATTATTCACTCTTGAAAACACCCTTACCTGATTTCACTTCAGCTACAACCTCTCCACCTTCACCATCTGTTTCTTTATTGACATCCTCCTCGCTCTCTCCTTCCTCTTCCTTCTTCTCCTCTGTCACAGTTACTGCAGGTGTGCTTTCATTCTCTTCAGTGACTGTGTCCATCTGAACATCTAAAAGATGAAGTCCAATTATTAACGTCGCTCAGAAAACAAAGCATCTTCAGTTCAGCAGACAACATCAGCTGGAGCGTTGCTGTTTCCTCGTCCCAAACATAGTCCCAATCGTCTTATAAGACAGTGAAAGGCTGCAGCTAAATATT